TATCAACAGGCGAGCAGACCGTTCGACAAAGCGTACACAGCTCTAGAAGGACAAAGGGTCGAGAAACGAAAGTAATACTGCCAGGTCTAAAGTGCAGAAGAGCGACTGAGTGAGGGTCGGAGAAGCCGGATTCGGCGTGCATCAAAGAATCGCCAACTTCAAACTTCTGTCACTCCGAATTCGAAGGCGACGGCAATTGTCGGTCAGAGGGGACTTTGAAAGGCGCACAAGCGGAGGTCTGCAAGTCTTTTTTTAGAGCTGGGTTAACGGACGATCCTTCAATTTCGAAAGGCAGAAAGGGCGCAGCATCTCCAGAGTCCGCGTACAATCCGAACGCAAAGTCGATGGCCACGGTCCAAGCTGAGCAGAAAAGGACGAAAATGCTAAAGAGAAAAAAAGCTACCGTCCGAGGACTCCCAAGCAGATCCCCTTCCAAGCACCGAATACCCAGCTCCTCCAAAGTGGTGGAAGGTGAAATGGAAGGACACCATCAAGCGAAAGAAAATGTGCACCCGGAGCTGGGGTGGCAGACGTCCACGAAGACCGGGAAAGTCCGTGGGACGTGTCTGGGCAGGACGACTTCTTGAGTGACGAGATCCAGACGAAAACATCCGGGCGAGAGACTAACAGGCCTGCCCAGCGGCTCTCTCTTCTTGAGGCAGCATCGACACCAGCGCCGGCCCGGCAGGATGTTGAGAAATAAAGGAAGAGGAAGAGCGCGCGGACGATTGGGGTGCACGCGGGACTTGCGCACCCGCAAGTTAGTGTTCCATAAACGGCCATCCGAACAGGACACGTCTCGGGTCCCTTCCTCCACAGGCCCTTCAACCCATCTCCTGCTCAGTTCTTCAATGGAACTGTAACGGATTGAGAACTCGACTCTCCGAGCTCCGCGAACACCTCTTGGACCACGCCCACGATGCAGTAGCTCTCCAGGAACCCAGAATGTCAGCCGGCGGCATGCGCGTTCCGGGTCATGCAGTGTACGCCAGAAAACCGCATGTTGCAAGAGGGTCTTTGCGGGCATCACAACTAGTGCGTCGAGAGTTGCCACAAAGTGAGTTGAGCCTCAATGATTTATGCGCCGAGGGTGCAGAGTTTGTGGCAGTGACGGTAGAGTTGAGAAGACGTCCACTCACCATCGTCTTGGCATACGCGGCCCTTAACGCCCCCTGGGACGCTCATGTACTTGCAAACAACCGAGTACGAGCTAAGGGAGACCTTATAGAAGCCGGAGATTTCAATGTGCACTCACAGTCTTGGGGAGGCATGCAAGACTCCCCATAGGGACGCGAGCTACAGGCAACGGTAGAAGCACTTGACCTGAGAAACATCACAAGTTATAGCCAGACGTTTATCCGCCCTGGAGTGTTGGGAAGCGTGATTGATCTCACCTTCACAACTTGGTTCCTGAGACTCAGTGCAACACTTCAGGCGGACATCTGGGACAGTGATTACCTTCCAATTGTTATTGGAAGGCCGACGCAATTCCCCTTTAGGACTTGCCAGATAGTCGACTGGGACCGCTACAGGACACTGCTTGCAGAGGAACTAGAGGTTGGGATTTCCCGACCTCGGATGGCCTAAACTCCGAACGAGGAGACGGCGAGCCCAGCGAAAGTCGTGAGCCACCGGAAAACCGGAGGATATCCTTGCCTGTATCGGCGACTGCATGCTAGATTCAGGAAACACGGAAAGGAACTGGCGCGCCGATAATAGCGTCTCAAGTACTCCAGACACAACATCCGGAGGAAGCTGGGCTTGGAGGGTGTCGAGAATAACACTGGAATGGCCTTCCGTGGCCATGAACCTCCGACCAACAGAGATAGTAGAGCTCCTCGCGGATACTTTCACTGAAGTTCCATTGGTACCGACAATGGGGCCGCCGCCGCCCCCCCCCCCCCCCCCCCTGAAGCCCTGAAGATTGGAACAAGTTCCGTCATCCCACGGCACGTCTGGTAGAACAACCGGACACCGACTTTACTCTGCACGAGCTGCATTAGGTCCTTGATGCCCTTCCAAGATATCGTGCGGCACCAGGACCGGATGGAGTCACCAACCATGCAGGCCCTGAGAAACATCAACGAATCGGCACTCCCGGCGATGCTAACTCTCATCAACCAAGTCTGGAGGACGGCTGAGCTGCGAGACGCCAGGGGTGGTTCGCTCATCTCGCGGCCGCGGTTGCGGCCAAGAGGGATTCTTACGTCACGTGACCAGCTCCATGGGGACAAGGAAGTACCTAGCGTCCCTGCCTAATGGCGGTGAGATCCGTGTCGCTTCGAGTACAAAAGTTTGATTTCACTCGCAGAATCTCACCGCGGAGGCTTTCAAATGGAATCCAGTTAACCGCCCCTTCATACTTTAGGAGCAGCAATTAAAGTTACGAATAGAAAAGGTAAAGAGCAGCCAAAATAAAATAGAAATCACGCGTTCATTCTACATTTCATCTTCCTCCCATTCCAGTTTCAGTGTAGATTCCAGGCAGCTCCTTTTTTTT